AGGTCCCTCAGGAGGACCTCCCTCAGGGCTTCGTCCCTCCTCGTGGTGTCCTTTCCCCTGAGGAGCGCGCGGCTATTCTGGGCCGGCGTGGGTGTTTGCGCTGCCGCTTGGACGGTCATACCTCCTCGCGGTGCCCTTACACTACCGCCCTCGACCTCCACTACGCTGACCTTTCTCGTCAGTGTCGTGCTCAGTCCCCCCCGGCGCCTCACGTCCCCGCGGCGCCTCCTAGCCACAGTGCAGTGTACACCTGCGCCCTCCTCAGTAGTGGGCTTCCCRACATCTCCGTCGCGGTTCGCCCCTCTCGCTACTAGAGTTGAGGTATTGCAGGACTCGACAGAGTGTACTCAGCCCTCTGTCGCAGTACCGTCTGCGCCTCCGCAGACCACCGTCTCCCCTCCYCCCCCGCCGCGACTACCGACGCATCGAGCCATTCGCTCAGCCCGTTGCAGCTTGCTACTCGTGAGGACGTTGTGTCCTCTCTTCTGGACTTGAGTATGCTCCAGGCTCGTCAGGAGCGACTCACCCTCCATGTCGCTGCACTGCGTCGCCTTTCTCGCCATCCTCTGTGACCCTGATCACACCCTCCCGATCATCCCCGTACGACTCGGGACCTCCACGAGGGTGTACTCAGCGCTGTGGGATTCCGGTTCTCAGGGCGACTTCATTCACCCACGCGTGGTGAAGGAAGCCCGCTTACCCACGACAGGGTCTCCGACTCCCATCTTCGTTACCCTAGGGGATGACAAGACCTAGAGCTTCTTCGATCAGACGGTCACCGACCTCCCCTTCTTCCTCACTCTCGAGCCGACTGAGCGTTCCCCGGCGTCTCGTCGCCACCGCTCCTCTGCACATTTCGATGTGATGGAGACGAGGTACGACTTCATTCTCAGCACTCCGTGGTCTCGTCGGTTCCGCAGCACCGAGGCCGATTGGGCGACCAACATTCTCGTTCTCAAAACGAAGTGTGGACAGATGTATCGCGTACCTTTCATAGGTACCACGGCGACACCACGCCCCGATCCTCCTCCCCCGGAGCCTTTAGTGCCCACACCATCTCCCTCTATCACTGTCACCTCGCCTCGGCAGTTCGTTCACTTCATTCGACAGGACGACGTCACCTTCTTTATGGCGGGCGTGACGGATCTCTTACACTATGATCCACCCTGTCCCGACGCCGAGCTCATCCCTTTGGAGCCAGATCCTCCCTCTATCTCCATGGCTCCCATCTCTACTTCCATCCCTCCGCCGTCCGTCGAGTCCACCCCGCCGTCGCGAGCTGACGCTGACGTTGAGGAACTCGCACGATATACGGCTAACTTGGAGCCCGCAGTTCGTGACCTCATCCGAGAGTACCACGACGTTTTCCCATCGTCGTTCTCGTACGCCGGCATCCCACCGATGCGTGACGTCGAGCACTCCATTCAGCTCGTGGCTGACTATCGTGTTCACCACCAGGCACCCTACAGACTCTCGATCCCCGAGGCCACCGAAATCAAGCGTCAGCTTGAGGAGCTCCTGAGACTGGGTTTCATTAAACCCAGCAACTCCCCGTGGGGTGCACCCGTCCTCTTTGCTCGCAAAGCAGATGAAACTCTTCGTCTCTGCATCGACTACCGCGGCCTCAACCGCTACACGGTTAAGAACAGCGCAAGGCTAGCACGGGTGCCGTCAAAGGGGGAGCGGTGGTTCGGGTCCAGGGTGCCCGAAGAGGACGGGGAAGTAGGGGGGGTTTGAGGAACCCTAGACCCTACAAAACCCCTAAGAAAACACTAACCGAGGTTTAAGGCTAAGGTAGGGTACCGGTGACCTAATCAAGAAAGTAAAATAGCAAGCATAGGGGGGGGGGGGAGATGGGAGAAAAATAAATAAACAGCGAGATTTCGAGAGGAAATAAAATAAATAAGAAAATAAATAAATAATAAATAATAAAAATAATTWAARAAATAAGTAAAAAGATGTGAAGAGAAACAATATTTATTTTTTTGAAATTTTCGGCAGCATTTCCCTACCCCCCACGGGGTCAAGAATGTGCCAAGGGAAAAGGAGAGACCAAGGTGTGCACATNTTGTGTGCCGAAAAGTCCGAAAGAAAGACCTCTCATAAAAAAAAGCGCCCCCCAGCTTTGGGAACAGAGAGGCCACTTCCTGCCCTTTGTGCCCCCCCCCCCCCCCCCAATGATGTTCCTGGTGGGTTTTTTTTTCCCCCCCCCCCCCCCCCCCCCCCCCCCCCCCCCCGGGCGCGGATTAACGCTATGATCTCATACGTCTGGAATCCAGCCTCTACATCAACCTGGGTTTTTCAAAAAAAAAAAAAAGCAGGAGTAGCACAGCACGTAGGTCCGCACGCAGAAGACAGGCATCGCTCTCTTTCAGGAGTTCTGTCTGCCCAGATGGAGTATAACCAGGGGCGAAGTCTCACTTACGCTTATTCTTTATTTTTTGTCGTTGATCTTCCTAATCTGTGGTCAAAAGTTGAGTATTCGGGTAAGTGGGACTTGGCCCCAGGTTCCATTGGAGTGCTACCAGTAAACTCCGCAGAGATAAGACCTTAAGACCTAAGATGTCCTACGTCCTAAGCATGTGTAAACAATCTTGGCCGTAAAGGTTAATGACAGAGCACCAACCTTAACCGCAGACTTCGAGAACTGCAAAGGCGAGGGGGGGGCTCACGGAGTTAACAGGTCAATCCCTCTTTTGTTTCTGTCATTTTTGACATACGGTCGTCTTGTAGGCCCTCCTGACCTAGTTGCCAGAGCCATAGATAAAAAGCAGAAAAAAATCAGAAAACAACAACAACAACAAAGAAGCAGAAAAAACAAAACAAATAAAAGAAAGAGTAGAAATCATGGATGCAGTGCATTTGGGTCAGTCGGGCCAGTGGAACAGGAGTCTCACTCATTCTGTCCACGCAGGAGCGGGGGCAAGGTCCCATTTACACGAATTAAGCGATATTGACCGTAGATAGCAAATATCAACGGCCCGAATCTCTTAATCCATGCAAGTGGGGCCTTGCCCCGGGGTGGTGACAGATGTGTCTTCGACCTGGGGCCCCCAACAGCTCACAGGATGTGGAAGACTGACTTGTCGTTTAAAAACGGGCTGGCCACAGGTGACGACTCCCGATGCAGGTCGCTGCTGAAGGCCGGTCCCATGACCGGTATGAAGTCCCAACTATGGCACCCAGGTAAGTCTCTCTCTCCCTCGTGGACATGGCATCCGCCAAACCTCTCATCTCCAGCCTACTCCTCTACTCCTCCATCGCTGCTCTATTACAGCTCTCCCCAAACTGGTGCTGCTCCAGCAGCGTGACGTCCAAATGAGACTCCAACCCAAATGTCTCACTAAAGTGGAAGACTGGCCCAACCATTTTACTCCATCGCTGCTCTTGACATGATACAGCAATCGGCGTTGACATGATACTCTCGACATGTGGAAAAAAACAAAATGTGGCGGGTGCATCTGGCCATGTTTTAGCGTGAGGTTCATTCAATTTGTTTGCACATTTTGAGAGTGGTATGGCGATGCCCTATGCCTGTCAGAGTCAGAGAGAGACTTTGAAGAGGGCAGACATCGCTACACACCACTCTCGAACTGTGCAAACAAATGAGAATGAACTTCCCGCTCGAACATAGTTAGATACGCCCGCCTCATTTTCGTATTTTCCACATGTCGAGAACGGTGCGGCGATGCCCCCCCCTTTTCATCTCTTTCCTCTCTACCCCACACAGGAAGAAATACAGACGAGGTATTCTCCTCTCTTGTTCAACCACCCACTGTTATACCGCGTTCCACTCGGAGACGCAGCCATTCAGGTAGCATGTTATATATGTTCCAGACACACCGCCAACCATTCGTGTCACGTATGTAGGACCGCGAAAATTATATAGTTGAAAACTTGCGATTTTCTGCACGGCTGGTGCCGTGTACTGACAGTGGACAGCAGTCCATTTTGATAGACTTGTGTGTGCACAATGTGCATTCTAGAAAAGCAGAAAACATGTGGCAATCTTTGTTCATACGCAGCCAAATGCTGCATTTTCTGAATCACTCATTCGAGTGCTTCCAGTCATATGAGATACAGTTAGCAAAACGCTGTTGCGCATATACTGTCTGGCACACCCGGTTGTTATGGGTTATGGGTCTGCAACTGTTCAGCAATTATGGGGGAGAACCACCCATGCCCCGCAATAGCCCACCCGTCCCTGTCTTGCGTTGCGTTGTTGTTGCTCTTGCTACGGCACGTGCTGTAGCCTGGTGCTACATCCCTTGCTGTTGTTGATGGTGTGGGGCATGGCTACTTCTCCCCCATGCTGCTGTTAATACTCCAAGTGTTGCCACATGTTGCTATGGCTATGTCGCGGGTTGCTGGCGCTATATCCGGCATTGCTACTGTGTAGCGGACCCACCAGGTGTGGTGCTCCGCTAGTGACAGAGATGGAGATGGAGGAAGAAGGGGGAGCAAGATGGCACAACGCAGCTCCCCACGCAAGACTCCAACGCACGTACTCCAAAATGTGCAAGTGAGGAATGAGACTGAA